ATAATGGCAAAAATAGGTGGAAAATAATGGCAAAAACAGCTGGGAAATGATGTGAAAGGGAGATGGGAAATGATGGGGAAAAGAGATGGGAAATAATCGGGAAAACAGGTGGAAAACAGGAAAAGGGTGGAAAATAATGGGGAAAAGATGGGAAAAGGAGATGGGAAATAATGGGGAAAAGAGGTGGAAAACAACACGAAAAGAAGCGGTAAAAAATTGGGAAAAGAGGTGGAAAATAGGGAAAATAGGTGAGAAATAGTGGGAAAAAGAGTTGGAAAATAGGGAAAAGAGGTGGGAAAGGGCCAGAGCTGCTTCCCACGGGATCACCGAGGTCGGGATTCCTTCGGCCGCCCCAGACAATTCCTGCCCTCGCCGACAAAACCCTCGGGAATGAGCAGAAAAAAACCCAACGGCAGCTGGGGGCTCGTGGGGAAGATTCCGGAAGAGGCGCCTACAGACAATCCCAGCTCCAGACCCCACCCCTGGGAATATTTGGAATATTGATCCGGCCCCTAGGAATATTGGGAATATTGGGATTATTGATCCAGCCCACAGGAATATCAGGAATATCAATCCAACCTCCGGGAATATCAGGAATATCGGGAATATCAAGCCGGCCCCTGGGAATATTGGGAATATTGATCCAACCCTTGGGAATATCGGGAATATTGATCTCTCAGAAATATCGGGAATATCGATCTGATCCTCGGGAGTACTGATCCAGCCCTTGGGAATATTGATCTGAGTCTCGGGAATATCAGGAATATTGGGAATATCGGACAGAATATTGGGAATACCCCAACGGATCAGACCATTGGGACTATCGGGAATATCAATCCGACCTATCCAGCCCTTGGGAATATTGGGAATATGGATCCGACCACTGGGAATATGGATCCCACCATCAGGACTATTGGGAATATCGATCCGATACTCAGGAATATTGATCCGTTTCTTGGGAATATCAGAAATATTGATCTATCGGGAATATCGATCCAACCTCCAGGAATATCAATCTGACCCTCGGGAATATCAGGAATATTGATCCCACCTTCAGGAATATCAATCCCACCGTCACGAATATCAGGAATATTGATCGGATTCTCGGGAATAACAAGAATATCGATCCAACCCTCAGGAATGTCAAACCAACCGTTGGGAATATCAGGAATATTGATCTGACCCTTAGGGATATCAATCCTATCCTCAGGAATATCAATCCCACCCTCGGGAATATTGATCCGACCCTCAGGAATATTTGGAATATCGGGAGTATCGATCCCACCCTTGGGAATATCGGAAATATCAATCCCACCCTTGGGATGTCCCCACAGAACCCCCTCGGAGCCGTTAAAGGATCCCTGGATCAGCTCCCTCCTCCCTGCACTTGGAATTCTCCAGAATGGCCGGAGCGAGGGATGGGATGGATTCTCCCTCCATCCCACTCCATTCCCAGACGGAAAAGAAGGAATTTGTGGAGGATTTGGCTGATTTTTAGGATGGGGGATTTTTTAGGATTTCAGAACCCCAGAATTCCGGGATGGCTCGGAACAACCTCGCAGCTCATCCCATCCCTCCCGCTCTCCACAGCCACTCCGAGCCCCATCCCACTCTCGGGACACCCGCCCCCAAATCCCGGGAAACGCCCCCGATGCGACGATCCAAGGACACCACGGCCTCAATTCCTATGGGATTTATTTCCACACTGCCCCCGTTTTCCTTTCCTTTCCGGGGGTTTTGGGTACCGAAGATCCCGGGATTCCCGGGCANGGAAAACAGGAAAAGGGTGGAAAATAATGGGGAAAAGATGGGAAAAGGAGATGGGAAAAAATTGGGAAAAGAGGTGGAAAATAGGGGAAATAGGTGGGAAATAATGGGAAAAAGAGGTGGGAAATAGGGAAAAGAGGTGGGAAAGGGCCGGAGCTGCTTCCCACAGGATCACTGAGGTTGGGATTCCTTCGGCCGTCCCGGACAATTCCTGCCCTCGCCAAGAAAACCCTCAGGAATGAGCAGAAAAAACCCCAACGGCAGCTGGGGGCTCATGGTGAAGGTTCTGGAAGCAGCGCCCACGGACGATCACAGCTCCAGACCCCACCCCCGGGAATATCGGGAATATCGATCCAACCCCTGGGAATATCAGGAATATCAGGAATACAATCTCACCCTCAGAATATCGGGAATATTGATCTGGTCCTCGGGAATATCAGGAATATCGATCCCATCCTCAGGAATATCAATCCCACCGTCGAGAATAGTGGGAATATCAATCCAACCATCAGGAATATCAGGAATATCAATCTGACCCTCAGGAATATTGGGAATATCGATCCCACCCTCAGGAATATCAGGAATATCGATCCCACCCTCGGGAATATCAGGAATACTGATCCGCCCTTGGGAATATTGGTAACATCAATCCCACCCTTCGGAATATCGATCACACCCTCAGGAATATTGAGAGTATCGGGAATACTGACCCAACCCTCGGGAATATCGGGAGTATTGATCCAACCTTCAGGAATATCAATCCAACCTTCGGGAATATAAGGAATATTGATCCAATCGTTGGGAATATTGGGAATATTGATCCCACCCTCAGGAATATTGATCCCACCCTCGGGAATATTTGGAATATCAGGAGTATCGATTCCACCCTTGGGAAACCCCTCGGAGCTGTTAAAGGATCTCTGGATCAGCTCCCTCCTCCCTGCGCTTGGAATTCTCCAGAATGGCCGGAGCGAGGGATGGGATGGATTCTCCCTCCATCCCACCCCATTCCCAGCCAGAAAAGAAGGAATTTGAGGAGGATTTGGCCGATTTTTAGGATGGGGTATTTTTTAGGATTTCAGAACCCCAGAATTCCGGGATGGCTCGGAACGACCTCGCGGCTCATCCCATCCATTCCACTCTCCGCAGCCACTCCGAGCCCCATCCCACCCTTGGGACACCGCCCCCAAATCCCGGGAAAGGCCCCCGAGGCGACGATCCAAGGACACCATGGCCTCAATTCCTATGGGATTTATTTCCACACTGCCCCCGTTTTCCTTTCCTTTCCGGGGGTTTTGGGTACCGAAGATCCCGGGATTCCCGGGCA